GTTATACCATATGGCTCAGGTTCACAGATTTCAGTTTGGGGCAATAATCTCACTGACAACTCTCAGGTGTTATACTAAATGCATGAAAGAATAATCGTATGGGACAGGATTTACTGTTGAGTTAAAAAGTGATAGTTTTCTGACTATTAATTCTCAGCAAAAGATTAGGCTATTAGAATTGCAGGGTATGCTGATCTCATCATGGTGGTCATGATGAAGTAATTCTGATTTTGTCAGTGATATATTTATGAATGTCTCTACATCTTTAATAAGAAAATTCAAGACTTTGATGACAGTTCCATCAAAGCAAACTGTAAACGAGACATACTTAATTTTTATTTTTTTTGTAAAACTCTCCAGTTAAATATATGCAAAACTTTGAAAAAGTAACTAATTACAGCTTATTAAAGCTTGGTCTACCTAGTAACTTCCCTGTTGGAATTCAGTAATCATGAATGAAGGCGATCCCAACAGGCACCTGCTTTACACTTGAAAGCTCAGAATTATTGCTATACAGTAACACTTTGTCTTATGTAACACAAGTCAAAGGAGGAATTATACAGCAGTATTTCTGTTACCTTGTCTGTAGGGACCAGAAATGGAATTCATACTGGGTGGGATGGGTTGTTGTCATTGTGCGAACACTATTCACTGCAATATCCATGGGCCTAAAGAAATAACATAATATGCAAAATACCTACACTGAAACAATATTTACCCTGTGTTCAAAAAAATGCTTCCAGATCTTAGATGAAAAGCATTTAACTGCAAACCATTATACTACATGTACTAAAAATCATCTGCTACCATCTAGGTCATATTTACTGACCATATGGAATAAAATTTCTTAAATTTTTTGACTACAGTAACAGCAAATAATAGCAGTCTACGTAGAAGATGTAAAATTCTGGTTTTGTTTAAATCCAGAAACAAAGAAATGTAAGGAAACTCACCCTGAAGACTGAAGTATCTATGATTCATTAATTTTTGTTCCTGACTAAAAGACCTAAACAGTTAAACATTAGAAATGCCTAGAAACAATTTTGTGAGGAAGATCATAGATAAACAGACGATATTAAAAAAAAAAATCATGAAGTCAGAGAAGTAGTCTCATAATACATGGATATTATCTTATTTGACATATTTCACACTTCTTGTCTTTATGGAGTTTGATATTTTACCAAGATTTTGGAGTAACTTACGGACACTCAATTAGAAATTTAGTTTTTTAAATGCTGAATACAGTAATTAATTTTATAAAACAGTCATAAACTCTGCATAGTTTTCTTTAGACAAAGCCAAAGACATTGTTTCCACCAAGTCGTACAGGTACTTGTGGATTCCACCAAAACCTGTCTACATGTCTAGCATTTTCTAAAGAGACCCTTACCCTTGTCCTGAAGAGATGCTAGAAACAGACAAAAGTAAGAGGGACAGACAACAACATAAACATTTTGTGGAAATTATGGTAGCCAAGAAAATAAATTTTAAGTATTTAAAAATTTTAAGTATTCAAATAAACCAAACCTACAATTTCTGTATTTTTAAAGAAAGATAGCAAAACTCTCCGTAGGGAACTTGGCAAAAAAAGGGCTCAAGAAAGAGGTAAGAATGGAAAGTAAGAATGGCCTAGAGAAAGCTATTTGGATATGAAGGAGCTATGGCCTTCACTTATCAGAACTGAAGCAGGGAGACAGGACGGATTCACTCCACAAGAATAAAACGGAAGGCTACAACGCAACATGGAAAATAAGAAGAGTATAAGGAAAGGAAGGCAGATGCAAAGCATTTCGCTAAACTGTAGGATCGCACAACCTCGTATAGCTCCTAGCAAGTGTTCACCATGCCAAAAAAGATAAAGACAAAATTATAGAATAATGGAGGTTGTAAGGGACCTCCAGCAGTCATCTCATTCAACCCTCAAGAAGAAAACTAAGAAAACACAGAAAGTACAGCAAAACCCCTGTAAATAACTCAGGGGGGGAAGGGGGGGGGCGGCGACCCAGCAGAAACAATGTGTGATGAACTGACTGCAACTCCCATTCCCCATTCCCCCTTCATCACTTGGATGGGGAGGAGGTAGAGAACTTGGGAGTAAAGTTTAGTCCAGGAAGAAGAGAGGCATGGGGGGAAGGTGGTTTAATATTTGGGGTTTTTTTCTTATTATTCTACTCCAATTAGATTGGTAATAAATTAAATCAATTTCCCCAAGTTGAGTCTGTTTTGCCCGTGATGGTAACTGGTGAGTGATCTCTCCCTGTCCTTACCTTGACCCACGAGCCTTTCATTCATTATATTTTCTCTCCCCTGTCCAGTTGAGGAGGCAGAGTGATAGAGCAGCTTGGTGGACATCTGGCATCCAGCCAGAGTCAACCCACCACAGCAGAGAACAAGGCTGGATTCACTTCACAAGATGAAACATTGCTTTAATTTAACATTCATCATGAGGACAAATGATAAACATTCCAGTCAACTTTCAAAGGTACTGCGTGGAAGACTTGGTGTTAATTGGGTTTTTGTGCTCTAGTTTTGAAGAAAAGAGGAAAAGATGTAAAACAACCATAAAATCATAATAAAATTTATATGTCACTTTCCCAATCTCCAGTTAAGTGCATATTCATAGACATTAGGCATTAATCATTAATCATATGCTGGTAAACCAAACAGTTCTGGTTTGAAATCCTCCATGGAGTTCAGCAGTAGTGTTGCCTCCTTTTTAAGATCTGGATTTAATTTTTCATCTGGAATCATAACCACATTCGTGCTGCCAGGGCTCCTTTGACTCCAAGTGGTGCATCTTCAAACACAAGACACTGAGAAACAAGGAGGTGAGGGGAAAAAATTAAATAATAATGTTACTATGAACCTTTAATCTTTTGTTTTAAAAGAGAGAATGATGCCAAATAAACTTAGTGGGAAAGCTAAATTCAATTCCTGGCTAGATACCCCTAATTAGAACTAAGGCAAACCTCTTAATCTGAACATTTGCATAGTAATTAACCTTAAATTCATTTCAATTCAAAAAAACCCCATCAACATGCATACTTAAATCTCAGCAACTGGTTATCCAGATGTTCCTAAGTGATTTGTTTTATAGGGATAGATTTAAGCACCAGCTTAAAGTAAAGTTAAGCAAGTGCTTAAATACCTTTATAAGCAGGTAATTTAACTCTTCAAGACCAAATTTACAACCTGCAAAATAGCAAATGTTATTAGCACTGCTATTACTACTAATATCAAAATTACTGCCACACGTAATTTCAGTAATTCAACATGTATGTTGGGATGGTTAGTACACCCTTCGGACAGTGCAACTCTGCCTTATCACAGATTTCTCTCACACATTAGGCCTTTCTCTACAGTCATTACTGATCTACCAAATGCCCTCTTACATAGCCAGGATGGATTTTCTTACCCTTTTCTTCACAACACAATAGACTGTGGCAACTAATACCAAATGGGTAAGAGTAATGAGTTGCTAAACTTAGTTTAACTTTTGACTGAATCCAGATGTGACAGACTAGGAGAACATACAACAACATACTGCATCTTTTAAGCTCTCTAGCACACAACTGTTTCACCAGGGAAGATTAAGGATGCACAACATTTGTCTGTTCTAGCTGTGCTCTAAGACAACAAGTTGTGTAACCTGCAAAAACTTTACTGTCCTTAAAGAAAACATTTTTGCAAGATGTATTAAATGTCTGCACTGTATATATCCATTTGTATCAGAGACTATGAAAGAGGAAGAGGGAATGCGCCTTTTCTTTCTTCTTTTTTTTCTTTTAAAAATATTGATTCTTGCCTGTCAACATGTCAGCAAGCACTTGGAGTCTGTCAAGAGAAAGCAAGAGGTGCTTTCTACCTTGCATATAATAAAGTAAAACTTAATGATTTTTACTGAGCCAATGGAATCACACCAATCTGTTTTGTGCTCATTTCCTTTACACAATCATTAAATTCCAGTTAGAACAATGTGATATTTTCAAATGTTGATCATTATCACTGTTACTAACAACAAATATGTAACCAGCTTATCCTGCAAAGCTTGGAACAATCGCTCTTAGAACAGAAGCATGGTTCTGCCTACAGGCTTTGTTCTTAACAATACTTTAGTTTGTGACTCTAAGCACTGTGAGGACAGTAAATGAAACCCTGACAGGCTTCGCCTTTTGAAGAGTAAGCTTAAATGTTGCACAAAACAGCATTATCAAGGCCTTTCAGAAACCTTTTCTAATCCAGTCCATACAAAGAAATGTACTTCACTGCTCTGCCTTGAAAGACCTACTTGACTTCCATGATGTCACTAAGCTTACTGTACGAGAGGAGCCGATGACTATGGAAAGCAATATGCATAATGAAAAGCTTAACTAATTCCCTGGAACTAGAAGCAATTAAAACTTTTAATAACCAAAGAAGCCAGGCAAATGACCCATAATTACAGTGGCTTTAATGTTGCAGGAAATAAGTGTACTAGGTCTTCCTCCACTCTTTCTTGCTACTGACACTTATTGTCAACAGTAGAGCAACATTTTTAATGGATGATGATGAAAGGTTTGCAGAGGTCCACATACAAAATGGATTTATTAACTTTGCTGCATAGAGATGTTATAAACTGTTCACTGTCCTGTCCCACTCACATACTAAATTTAGAGATATGAAAGGAGCCAAGTTCTTCCCCATTTTGCATAAGTATTGCAAAATCAGCATCACTCCAACTGAGAGAGACAGATGAGATTTATACAGACTTCAGCTGAGATTCTGGCTGCTTCTCTGCATTATTTCTAAAACTTGTGTCACTGATCAATACTACTGCTATGAGATTTCTCAAAAGGTCATACTAATATAGGACAGTTTTCACTTTGGAATGAACTAGATGCTTAAAAAAGTGAAGTAGTAAAGCATACTAATTTATATTTCACTCTATTAATCTAGAAAAAGAAAAATAAATCACTTAACCAAAGGAAGAAATAATAAAATCACTGCAGCACCTCATTACCTCATCTTCCTACACAAAATTTAAGAATATAAAGAAAG